ACTCATCATATACATCCAGAAGAACTATGTACAGTAACTTCTTCATTATCAGTGTGGTTAGTCACAGTGAACTTACTATTTCTGACTCATCATATACATCCAGAAGAACTATGTACAGTAACTTCTTCATTATCAGTGTGGTTAGTCACAGTGAACTTACTATTTCTGACTCATCATATACATCCAGAAGAACTATGTACAGTAACTTCTTCATTATCAGTGTGGTTAGTCACAGTGAACTTACTATTTCTGACTCATCACATACATCTAGAAGAACTATGTACAGTAACTTCTTCATTATCAGTGTGGTTAGTCACAGTGAACTTACTATTTCTGACTCATCATCCCATATGCCACCGATTCTTGGTCCAGTTAATGCTTCGTCAGTAACTTATGTCCTCAGGTTGTTAAAGTGGTTTCGCGTATCACGTTACAACTACAGGTCATACTTCAATGGACTGAACTACCAAATAATATGATATACTGCAGAGTCCAGTCTTGTCAGAACCAAACAATGTACTACTGGCACATACCACAGCCAATTCCAAATTCATGCTTGAAATGATATTATTTCGCTGTTTTCTCATAACTTCTCTTTATCCAGTTGTTGTCATGCAAATTAATATGTTTTAACTAACGTGACCACATATTTCTGCACTGTGGATTATCTCTACTGGAGAGGGGCCCATACATCACATTAACAGGGACCATTACTTCATATGTAGAAATTAATAGATTTGGAAAGTAGCTTGGCAGAATGTTGTTTTGTCACCTGTATGCCAATGTGACATATAACAAATTGTCATCCCAATCGTTCACTCAAACTTTTATGTTGAGGATGTCCCAATGAAGTGTGTGTCTTCACCACACCTTATACGCAATACAACTTCGCAAACAACAGAGACTATTAAATTTTGCTTCTTGGCCCATCTGAATTTTTTCAAATGCTCCAAACCATTGTTAAGCCAACTTATTAGCAATGGTCTGAGCTAGGGTGTCGGTGGGTAAATAAGCCTCAGTACACTGAGGTGATTCATAATGACCAGTATATATCAGCTATCATTATCTGGCCCCAGGTGGGGTTCTATAAAATCAAAGGTTATGTTTTGCAAGATAGAACCTGCCACTCTCTTCCCGCAAGGCTAGTTTTTCTTGGAGCAACACAGTGTCTATACAACCTGTAGAGGCACTTCTGATTTATACTCCAAAATAGATTATACCGAGTAAACAGGGATAAAAAATAAGATTCGTGGTACTCTTAGATACAACTTTGGTTTGTTTTAAAATAGCTTATATGCAATTTAGAAGAAATATAAACTAAATTAATGTTTGTCTTAGCAACAAATCTAAAATATAAATGTGTTTTTTCATCTTTTAAAAGTCAAATCAAACTTATTTTCTGAATAGTTTATATCTAATCATAGAGGGGTATAAACAACGATTCTTCATTACCTGATGGGCAAACTTGTACGTGTCTTTGTTTTTTACTTTCTTCAGTAGAAGCCATAAACACGTGTAAGTACAGTCATAAATTTTCACTTCCCTACAGCACTATATACTGAATAAGAGATTTGGAGGTTCCACTAACTACACTTAACAACAAGAACAACAAAATCATGACGATGGCAAATGGTTCCTTGATTGCATTCGAATAATCTGTTGCGAAATGAATTATAATTAATAATCCAGTGGGATTTATTTACAGTAATCTTTGTATAAAGAATAGATTAGTGTTATAATTAACCTACCTGGTGCGCTCCTGAGTCTAGGTTTTGATTCGTCGTTACTCAAGTGACCACTACTACTGTCCACGTCTGACACTCCACTATCAGCTGGACTTGGAGGTAAGGAGCCTAAAAATGCGTTATCGTCTTAATATAAAATGCACTTGTGATGAAATCACAAAAAAGGAAAATCAATATACTCTCCCAAACAATCACAAATAGTATAAAAACATCTACAACAGAGAAGTAATTAATCAACCACAACAGTACTCTTATATATTTTTATCTATCTTCAACATTATCAGCAGTCAGCAAATAAAAAGAGCATAAAAACACAGATGCTGATAAGGAATACCATAGATCAATAGAACGATCAGGTTGTTTTGGTTTCTAAGGTTACGATACCATGATAGCTACAGGAACGCAAACAACTCCCTCCGCTGTGGTCAAGGTAAAGGGTCAACTGAAACGAGGTCATGCCCTACGGTGCGGCTCCTGTTTGTACTTGAATGTTTTTCAAGTTTCCGTTATTTTTGTGTTTGGGTAAAATGAACCAAAACAAGTGACTGGGAAAGGGCGTTGTAGACGATTCTTTGACCTAGATTCATGCGACACAAATAACCGAAAACAGACACTTCACTCGAACAACAAGAACAGAACCCAAAGACTGGAAAATTATTTTTACTTAAAACGCTACTTAAACAAAGATTTGAAGATTTAGTTCAAAGAATTTGCAAATATTTTTTATTTGACTTAGATTAGACATGTATGGTAAATATATTGTTAGAAAACTATCGTACACTTTACGAAACAATACCGAATAGTTCTTTCTGTGACGGCATAAAGGGGAAAAAAACAGGAAGAAAGTTTTTCTCTGTCAAACTGTTAGAACTCTAAAAAAAGGAGGGAATCCTCAAAAGCCGCGGCACTTCAAATTCATTTAGGCAGGATTAGAGTAAATTAGTCTATGAGACTTTTTTTTTCCTTTTTTTGTGCACCAGCAATAATACCAATCATGGTGCTCGCGCATTACTCATCAAGATCTCTACCAGCCTACCTTCAAATTGAAATCCTGTAAAGCAGGATTATAGTAAATTAATCTATGAGACCTTGGGAGTAGACAAATATATCAATCGAAAGGGTTTGACCTCCTGAGTATAAAACTGCAATTAGATCTCAAATCGGCCAAGAGATGACGGAGCTATGAGCTAAAAATTTTTACTTGAAAAAAAAACCCAACTCGGAGCCATTCTATGAGCCGATATGCCGCGGCTACCAGAAACAAACAAACGAACAAAAACTTTAATAGAAATATTCTTAATTTGTTTACGTTATCGTTAATATTTTCAATTATTAATTATGCATTAATTAACTTATTTAACGTTTCTTAATCAACAAGATGTTGATTGCTCAAGGGTATTTAATTGATTTTATAGGGGCAATAACATTTCTTTGAAACATTATGCCTGTTATGAGTGTGTAATGTGTATAATGTGATCAGACAGAGTACTCTTGATGAACTATGTAACGAACGACAAGCCAAGGATAGAAGGATAATGCCCTGCCTTGTATTCTAGCTGATTTCACAGGTGACCAGACAACACTAACGGAGAAAGAAATTATTTTGATATCGATGTCCACTTACTGGAGATTCAAATTCAAAGTTGTTGCTAACTGAGCCATGCCCTATATGAAAGTATTTTAATTAAACGCTATTATGTATGTTCGAATTAAACCGAACTCGAAACGTTTAAGTAGAAACCGAAGAATAAATTATGAAAGGTTTTCCTTTTCTTTGTTAACACAATATCGAGTTTCACTTGGTCAGTTACAATGAGATTTATGTGCCTGTAAACAATGTTATTTCTGAAAGACATGATACGGATTTCAATTGGAAAGCCAAAAATGTAATTACAACAAAGATAACCACGTGTTGGTAACCAACAATGGAAATTCTCCAAAAAAAAAAAAAGAAGAAGAAGAAGAAAGTAGAGATACTCAGCTGGGTGAAGTGGACCTGTTTTCACTTCTGGAGATAATTAATCAGTGCACACAGCTGGGAAGCTTGTGTGTTAATAAAATCTTATATTTTAACTAGGTACTTCAGCGTGTAAGTTTTTTTTCTATTAACACACTAGTTTAAATGGGATTAAAACCAATATTAAGTCAACAGTTTAGAGTGACATACGCTCCTTCAGAAATTCCGTCTTACATGTCTAATTCGAAATATATTTTTCGCTCAAAAGTACATCAAACTAAGTGAGTGAGAGAGAGTGGCTCAGAAAAACAGGTATATTTTAACGAAATTATACAGCTTCAGAAACTAAGCAGCAAACTCTGATTTTTACATGACATTATACCGAAATAACAACTCTTCAACAGCCTAGTTAAATTCAAAACTCTATTATAAGGTAGGTATATGCAATACGTATACAGTTATATGCTTTAATGCAATAAGAAAGACTGGAGAAAGTAAATGTAATTTTGGATTACCACGGGCTAATGAAGTTCAGAAACGTTCAACAGAAAACAATCTCTCGGGGAGTTACCCCAAGGGTTAATAAGATACCGAAGTCAATGGACTGTTCTAGAATTACCCAAGTTAAAACTTCAAAATGTAAACATTAAAATATAAAATTTGTTAACTATAATTTTTATGGGCATTATCTATTGATCTATCTATTTAAAACAATTTCGAATTAAACTTGACGAGTGTAATTTTTACAGGCATAGTTAAACTATCTATCTATAGCTTGCTCTGGTAGGAAGTTAATCTGTCTGTCAGTCTAAAGTTAAATACTTTAAAGGATCAAAAAGTGTAAGATTTGCTTGTGGTAAAAGGATCCTTGGTGCATAAAAATATAGTATTTGTTTATTGTTAAGTACGAAGCTACACAATGAGTTAGTTGTACTCTGCCCATCGCAGGTATCGAAACCTAATTTTAGCGTTATAAGCCCTCAGAAGTAATTGCCAATTAGTCACCGTAGAGGGAGGGGCTATATATAACACTATTTTAGATTGTTTTGCGGACTTTATACTCACATTAGGATTATTACAATATGCCTTCTTAACTTCCAATATGGGGATTAATTTCAGAAGAAAAACAAAACACATGACTAAACAGATTTTACGTTTCTTGACGGATTGTAGTGTTAAAGATAATTTCTAAGCAGAATACCCAAGAAAAATCTTTTTTAACCAATTAAGTTCAAGAAGAATAACGTAATAACTGTAATCAATTTCAAGCTTCGATTAAAAAAAAAGATAATGATACATATAGACTTTGTTTTTTTGTTTTTTTTAGCCACAACATAGCGGCTCATAAGAATGGCTCCGAGTTTTGTTTTTCAAGTACAAACTTTTAGCTCATAGCTCCGTCATCTCTTGGCCGATTTGAGAACTAATTACAGTTTTGGACTCAGGAGGTCAAACCCTTTCGATTGATTATTTGACAACGTTCAAGGTCTCATAGATTAATTTACTATAATCCTACTTAAAATAATTTCAACTTGAGGGTAGGCTGGTAGAGCTCTTGATGAGTAATAAAATCGAATTGGATATATTCGAGCCCCTTTAACGACATTTTGGCTATTAATGTATAATCTTTTGTTTACGATATCTACAAGCTAAAGTATACCAGACTTTGAGGATTAAGTATGCTGTTATCGCCAACAGTGTTAAAGGTTATGCGTCAATGTATGTACTGACTGCAAGTTGAGCTTCGATGAATGAGAGGAGTTGCTTGTCTGTTTGTTTGTTTTGGAATTTCGCGCAAAGCTACACGAGGGCTATCTGCGCTAGCTGTCCCTAAT